CAACAGGTGAAGATGGCCGACTGTGAGCTGGTGTAGAAGGCGCTGGGGAAGGCTGAAGAGGTTGAGGAGAAGGGATAGGTAGCTGCAGATGCTGCAGAATACTGTTCACACTCGTTGTCAGGGACTCAAGGCTTGCTGCCAGCTTGTCAACCTTGCGGTCTATGGCAGAACCTTGGGTCTCGAGGGCGAGTATCCTCTGGTCCCAACTAGAAAAGTAGGACCTGTTGATGGTGTCTGTTAAGAGCACCAATTCAGCAGTATCCTTACTGTACTGACTGGATGTACCACTGGTGACAATCTTCTCCACATCCTTGCATAACTGTCTTCTCCTCTCCTCATTTCTACTAGCCTCCTGAGCTTCCTCCATCTCTTTCTTCAACCGCTGGATCTAGGCCTCTGCCTTTTAGGGCAATCCCAAATAAAATCAGACTTGCGATTTTTCATTCACAGCCCAGAACCCTCATCTGAGTGTAATAACCCCAGAATCATTGTCAATAGATAGACAGGATGCAACCTTGGATTGTAAGTAGACAGGATGGAATAGCGCAGAGAGTCAGTAGCAATCAATAGAACCCAGTAATCAATCAAGATGCAGCGGATGACTGATCAAGCTATTTTTGGACTCCTACTACTGACACTGGCACTATAGGACCCTAAATGCCCCACTATGGGTGAGGCCAAGTACAAATATTACTGTACCTGACTCAAAACATCAAATCCAGCAGAGTGCTTTCAAACACTGACACAATACCGAATTGCGATTTCAGGGTGACTGACAAACTGAAATTCTGACGGACAGAACGTAAGATATGACAAACCCTAGCTGCCCCAAGTACTGGCTATGGTAGCACAATACTCAGAATTCCATTATCACTGACATACAAACCCTGAACTACTCAATTCACAGTGTGTACTGAATCGCAATACTTTAACACAGTCAGAGATGCAATTTGAGACAGAGAGAAGGTCAAACAGAGTCAGTAAAAGTCAAAGTAGATAGGTAGGAGAAATAGATATGGCTGTCAGGCAGTGCGGTTTTCATGTTTCACTGTCTACAGACATACAATTCCAATTTTCTCAGTCGAATCACAACTATCAGACTCACTACAGGGACTTGAGTAAGGAACACACTTACTTCAGGGCAAAACACTAGAAGAAGAAGCTGAACTGGCTATCACTGCCATCTTGCCAATTTCTTCAATTCACTGTTCCTGGTGCTCCCACGTTCCAAATCTCCTGAAACTTGGTGATATTGTAGTTCTTGATATGGCGATTAACCTCCACTAATCAGATTCACTGTATCTCGCCCAAAATCTGAAACTCGACATACCCCCAGGTATCTCGCCACCAGCAGAGTCAACGCCTGGGCTAAAAATAGCCCCTCAGTGCCTCCCAGGCCACTAAGCACTGGATCGCCACCAATCTCTGTGTCATACCAACCGCCACACACTCTTCACCAACACCCTACTAAGCGCAATCCTGAAGGTGCGATTTCTCCATGAAACCTGACGTCAGAAACTCTCAGGTAGTGATGGTTGCCTCAGTCCATCATCTCGCCACTGTCTGGGTCCGATCTGCTCCGATACCAACTGTTATGAACATGATTGTCTGTTGAAATTTTATCAACACTCACTCACTGGAACTTCCGTACACGCCCATACATGCACAGAAGGAAGGGGAGAGGTAGTGGAGGGTCACACCGCTCAGAAAAGGAAACGCAGCGGAAGACTCAGAGAAGCAAAGTGACAGAATACACAATTCACTGAATTCTCTCCACAGAAGTCCCAACAATCATTCAT